ACTACAATGTTTAAAGTAATTAGCCTCCAATTAATATAAATAAATTAATGAAAAAAAAAAAAAAGAACTATATGGCACTGGAACCTGGAATGCTAGGTCCACGACTCAAGGTATATTGGAAGTAATCAAATAGGTGTTGGCAAGACATAGACATTTTAGGACATAGTGAAGTAAAATGGACCAGAATGGGTGAATTGAATTTGGATGACCATTATATCTACCATTGTGGGCAAGTAGCCCTTAGAACAAATGTAGTAGCCCTTATGGTCAACAAAGGGGTCTGTGAAGTGCAGTACTTGTGTGCAGTCACAAAAGCAACAGAATCATCTTGTTTTTTTCCAAGGTACACCATTCAGTATCACAGTAATCCAAATCTGTGCCACAACAAAAATGCTGAAGTAGCTGATGTTGGACAAGTCTATGTGGACCTACAAGACCTTCTACAACTAACACTAAAAAAGGCCTTGACTTTTTCAATATAGGTGACTGGAATGCCAAAGTAGGAAGTTAAGAGATATCTGGAGTAACAGGCAAGTTTGGCCTTGGAGTAAATGCAGCAGGGCAAAGGCTAACAGAATTCTGCCAAGAGAACACATGGGTCATAGCAAACACCCTCTTCCAACAACCCAAGAGAAGACTACACATGGACATTACCAAATGGTCAATTGCAAAATCAGACTGATTATATTCTTTGCAGCCAAAGGTGGAGAAGCTCTATAGTCAGAAGAAAAAGATTAAAAAAAAAAAAAAATACTTGGGCCTGATTATGGTTAGATCGTGAACTCTTTATTGCCAAATTCAGACTTAAACTGAAGAAAGTAGGGAGATCCACTAGACCCTTAAGGTGTGAACTAAATAAAATCTCTTAACGATTATACAGTCGAAGTAACAGATTGAAGGAATTAGATCTGATAGGCCCAAAGAACTGTGGATGGAGGTTCGTAACATTGTACGGAGGCAATGATCAAGACCATCCCAAAGAAGAAGTGCAAATAGGCAAAACTGTTTTCTGAGGAGCTCTTACAGATAGCTGAGAAAAGAAGAAAAGTGACAAGCAAAGGATAGAAGGAAAGATACATCCATCTGAATGCAGAGTCCGGAAAGGAAAGAGAGATAAGAAAATCTTCTTAAGTTATGTGAAGAAGTACAGGAAAACTATAGAATGGGAGAGCCTAGAGAAAATTAGAAATTTAGAGAAATTAGAGGTTCAAGAAAATTAGAGATACCAAGGGAGCATTTCATGAAACAATGGGTACAATAAAGGACAGAAACTGTTTTGATCTAACAGAAACAGAAGATATTAAGTAAAAGGTTACAAAAAGAAAAAAAAAAAAAGAAAAGGTGGCAATAATACACAGAAGAACTGTACAAAAAGGACCTTAACCAGATAACCACTTTGGTGTGATCACTCACACGTGATCATGTCTTCAGGTTGGTTACTTAAAAGATTGGTGAGATCATTGAGGTTTCATGTTACTTGGAAATTTGTGTTGTGGTTTTCATGCTGGAAACAATTGGAAAATTGCAGTCTTTCCTACTATAGATTCTTAGGACTTCCTAGACCTTGGATGAATAAGATATACCTTTGTCTCATGGAAGAACTCTTAAGCTCGTTTGTGTTCACTTGATCCTGCAGAGCTGGGTTAAGGGGTTTGGAACAGACACCTCTTTTCCATTATTTTTTGGAACTAGTTTAAGAGTATGGTGTTAAATATTTGATATTTTCCAGTGAAGTCATCGAGTGAAGTGGGGTTTTATTTCTTGGGAAACTTGATGATTCATTATTTGTTGTTCAAATTTCCTATTGCATGTTTCTAGGAGTTTATCTTTTTTTCTGGGCCATTCTGTTTGTTGAAGTTTGTATTAAATAATTGTAGAGAAATTTTTTCTTTTTATTTTTTATTTCTGTAGTATCAGTTGTAATATTTTTTATTTTTATTTGATTTGATTAAAGATTTCTCAATTTTTTGATGTTTAAGAAGTTATCTCATTTCATCCATTTTTAATATGGTAAAACTTGAAGATGTAAATAGTAATTGCCATGTTGAAAGTGAAAGTTAAGTCGCTCAGTCAAGTCTGACTCTTTGTGACCCCGTGGACTGTAGCCCATCAAGTTCCTCCATGCATGGGATTTTCCAGGCAAGAATACTGTAGTGGGTTGCCATTTCCTTCCCCAGTGGATCTTCCCGACCCAGGGATCAAACCCAGGTCTTCTGCACTGCAGGTAGCCGCTTTAACCTCTGAGCCAACAGGGAAGCCAGTTGCCATGGTAATCAAGCAGTAAAAAACAATAGATGAAAAAAAGGAAGAGAAGGAGTCTAACACACTAGGCCTTTGGGCTTATTAAAAAAGAAGTCTTTTGAGAGATGGGCTTATTAAAGGAGGAGTATTTTGAGAGATTAAGAGATTAATTAATGAGAAGCCAGTGAAAAGTTTGTTGTTTAGTCACTCAGTCATGTCTGACTCATTGAGACCCTGTGCAATGCAGCATGCCAGTCTTCCCTGTCCTTCACTATCTCTGGGATTATGCTTAAACTCATACCAAATGAGAAGGAAGCAACCTGCAGATCAGAAATAGTCTTCACCAGAAGTAAATCAGTTGGAACATTAATCTTGCACTTGCTGACTTCCAGAAGTTCATTTTTTCTTATTTAAAACACCCATTTCATGTTATTCTTTTAAAGAGCCTGAACAGATTAATACAGCATTCAAAGAATACTTCTATTAATTGACTTCTGATGTTATCATAAAGACAAGTTAGTATGTATATTGTTAAGTCAGTATCTCTGAGTAGAGTGAGTTATGGCCTAAGCTTCTGCTTCCACTGTCTTGTTGATGTTACTAAATTCTGTAATTCTAATTCATTCTTATGATAGTACCACCAGTATTTATTGATGAGAGAGAAAAATCCGTCCTAAAATTTATGTGAAATCCCAATGAAACGCATTTGTCCTGATTTCAGAATTTAGTATAAAGCTATAGTAAGGAAAGCAGCATATGACTAGCATAAATAAAAATATATTGCCCATATTTTATGGAATAAATTAAATAAATAAAGCATTGCATATATCATAAGATGACCCTCTACAAGTATGCCCAGGTCATTTATGTGATAAACATTTCTTCAGCATAGGTGGAAGGATACTTGCTAATCTGTATACAAGAGAAGGAAGTTTTATTTGTACCTTATGTTGTATATAAAGAATAACTTAGCATTAATTTTATGACTAAATAGGCTTCCCTGGTGTTCATATGGTAAAGAATCTGCCTGTGATGCAGGAGACTCAGGTTCAAGATGAAAACTTATGAAGAAAACTTTGACATTTGACTCAGTACTGATTTTTTGGATATGGCATCAAAAACATAATCAATAAAAGGAAATATACATAAATAAGACTACATCTGTTTTTCAAAAGATACATCAAGTGTAGAAATGGATGAAATTATTAGAAAATTTTGTATCTAACCAGGAGTTAATAAACAGGATTATATATAAAAAAATAAATACCTTCATAAAATTGATTATAGTTTCTAAAAAAATTGATTATAGTTTCTAGGTTGATAAATTTATGTATGTGCACATGAATGCATGTTCAGTCTAGTTTTGTATGTTGTAGTGATGGACCTGAACTTATTTTATTGTTCTCATTCTATAATGCTGTTATTTAATGTTTTAAAATACCTTGTTTGTTTTTTCCTGTATCTCTTCATCTTTCCATATTTTTCTTTCCAAAAATCAGTACTTAAGGTATTCTCATATTCAAAACTGACAAAAAAGATAAAGGACAATGGGGCATTATCTTGGCCACTTTTTCCTCTTGAATTTGCATGACTTTTCTTTGTGTCCAGCAGGAGCAACTCTCTTTGGTCGGCTTTGTGTGTGTTCTGTCAGTAATTCCAAGCTCTCACTCCAGCCTTTACTTTGGGGCTAGCCTTTGGACATTTATTGGCCAGTTGCAGTATTTCTTCTTCCTAATTCTTTGTGTGGTTGTTTCTTTTCCTTAACTGGCTAATAGAGTCAAGGAAAGAAATACTGGCCAGTTGCTTGATGCCCCTCTAGGTTAGTCCCTGAAATAATCCCAAGCGTTATATGAATAAATAGTGATATTAAATTTTAAATCACTGTATTAAAAATACATATGACCTACAAGTTCAAGCAGCAATGAGTACAGACCTGTGATGGCTTTGTGTAAACCTTGCTGTCATAAACCCCATCTTCAGAGCTGGCCCATGCCCAACATGATCACAGTTTATTGGCCTGAGGTCCAAGCCTGTGCTTATATGCATGAAATTCTATCAACAGGCAATGTACTAGGATTGTTCTGAAAGCAAAACTGAAAAGTGTATGGTATTTCATAGTTTCAAAATAGTACTCATTTGGCTTGGAATGCAGGTAGTATTTTATCGCCTTGTGGCTATGGATATGAAGATTCCGATTCTTCATGAAAACTCATCCTATTGACTCTGCTTCTGAGCTGACTTTGGGTCCTGTTTCTTTGCTGCCTATCACTGATTTTCTGAAGCAGAATTTTCATTGTTAATCTCTTAAATTCCTAGGGTCCAGGTTCCAGGAAAGATTTCTACCTCTCCCTCAACTTTGTATCCTGGTTCTTCTAAAAATAGAGTAGTCTTTGAAACAATTGATACTTGTATTGGGATTCCATAATGTTGGAGTTTCTTTTTTCCTTCTGAACTCGTCTTTAATCAATATTGTCACTGGTTAAGTTCTTTGAAAAAAATCTCATCATTGTCTTCAGTGAAGCCTTGGATTAAAATAGATTTTCATTTGAGAATTATTTCTGAAATTGTTCATTCATCTGTCCTATAAATCACTGATACAGAACTAAGAATAATTTATTATTTCATCTTGGCTCAGTCGTCATGCCTCACTTTCACTATCTGCTGTAGAATGGCTTGAATTGCATACTTTCTTGTTAAACTCCTTCAAAAATAAATATCTGCACACAGATACTTTAATTCCACTCTACATCTCTTCCTAGGTCTCTTTGTGATGCAGTTGAGAAAGATTACTTGGAGACTGTTCGCCTGCTTCTCTCCTATGGTGCTGACCCCATTTTGAATACTTACTCAGGTAGAACCATCATGGATATGACACAGAGCAAGCTTATGGAAATGTTTCTGGCAGGTAGGTAGCTTCAAGGAATGATAATGACAAAGTTCCACAAACACTGTAAATTAAAAATTTGTTGATAATTTGCAACATTTCCAATTTGTCTAGATTCTCACTAACATTTTTTTGTTGTTGTTCTAATTGATGTGATATCTTATAGCTTATGTTTTCATTGTGCTAACTTATGAAAAATGTGCTCACTGGCCATTTATAGATTTTTGGAGAAATTTTTTATTCAAGTTATTTGCCTGTTTTAAAATTAGATTATTTCTTTTTTGTTGAGTTGTGGGAGTTCCTTATATTCTCGTGGTTAAAAATCTCTATGAGATAAATTCCTTGCAGTATTTTCTGCCATATTTTTGTACATTGTCTTTCCACTATCTTCACTTATTTTCACTTTATAACTAGATTTATTATTTGTGATCATTCACCATTTTCCCATGGCAAATTCACATAGATGCTACTCTAACATTGGTTTAGGAAAATGCTTGTCAAATTAGTGTTCATTATACTATGAGCAGAGACATTACTTTGCCAACAAAGGTCTGTCAAGTAAAGGCTATAGTTTTTCCAGTGGTCATGTATGGGTGTGAGAGTTGGACTGTGAGGAAAACTGAGTGCTGAAAAATTTATTCTTTTGAACTATGGCTCTGGAGAAGACTATTGAGAGTCCCTTGGACTGCAAGGAGATCCAACTGGTCCATCCTAAAGGAGATCAGTCCTGGGTGTTCATTGGAAGGACTGATGCTGAAGCTGAAACGCCAATACTTTGGCCACCTCATGTGAAGAGTTAACTCATTGGAAAAGACCATCATGCTGGGAGGGATTGAGGGCAGGAGGAGAAGGGGACGAAACAGAGGATGAGATGGCTGGATGGCATCACTGTCTTGATGGACATGAGTTTGAGTAAACTCTGGGATGGACAGGCAGGACTGGTGTGCTGCGATTCATGGGGTCGCAGAGAGTTGGACACGACTGAGCGACTGAACTGAACTGATACTATCAGGATTAGAATATCCAAAAATAATTGTCTTTTAAAAATTAATTTATTTTAATAGGATATTAATATTTATTTTAACTAATTAGTTTGCATTTCAACCAACAGTGTAAGAGTGTTCTGTTTTCTGTAAACACTTTCCAGCTTTTATTTTTGTAGACTTTTTGATAGTGGTCTTTCTGACAGACATGTGACACATCATACCTCATTTTGGTTTTGATTTGCATTTCTCTGATAATGAGTGATGTTGAGTATCATTTCATGTATTTATTAGACCTCCTTGTGTCTTCTTTGGGGAAATGTCTGTTTAGTTCTTTGGTCCACTTTGGATTGGGTTATTTATTTTTCTAATGTTGAGCTGCATTAGCTGCTTATATATTTTGGAAATTAATCCTGTGTTGATTGTTTCATTTGCTATTAATTTGTCTCATTCTGAATGTTGCCTTTTAACCTTGTTTGTGATTTCCTTTACTCTGCAAAAGATTTTAAGTTGAATTAGGCCCCATTTGCCTATTTTTGTTTCTATTTCCATTACTTTGAGAGGTGGGTCATAGAGGATCTTGCTATGATTTATGTCAGAGAGTGTTCTGCCTACGTTTTCTTCTAAGAGTTTTATAGTTTCTGGTTTCAAATTCAGATATTTAATCCATTTTTTTTTAATTTTTGTGTATGGTACTATAAAGTATCCTAGTTTTATTCTTTTACATATGGTTGACCAGTTTTCCCAGCACCACTTGTGAAAGAAACTATCTTTTTTCCATTGTATATTTTTGTCTTTGTCAAAGATAATGTGCCCATAGGTGTGTGTATTTATCTTTGAGCTTCTGTTTGTTCCACTGGTCTATATTTCTGTCTTTGGAACAGTACCGTAATGTCTTGATGACTGTTGCTTTGTAGTATAGTCTAAAGTCAGGAAGATTCATTCCTCCAGTTCTATTCTTCTTTCTCAAGATGGCTCTGGCTATTCCAGTTTTTTTGTGTTTCTATAGAAATTGTTAAATTATTTGTTCTAGTTCTGTGGAAAATACCACTGCTGGTTTGATAGGGATTGTGTTGAATGTGGAGATTGCTTGGGGGTAGTATACTCATTTTCACTATATTGATAATTCTGATTTATGAACATGGCATATTTCTCCAAATGCTTGTGTCATCTTTGATTTCTTTCATCAGCATTCTATACTTTTATATATATAGGTGTTTGGTCTCTTTTGGCAAATATATCCTAAGTATTTAATATGCAACTTTACCATATTCACTGGTTAGCTATATTAATTTTCTGGTGGCATCTTTATGGTTTTCTCAGTAGAGGATCATGTCATCCACAAACAGTGAGCGTTTTACTTCTTTTCCAATCTGCATTCCTTTTATTTCACTTTGTTCTGTGATTGCTTGTGGCGAGGACTTCCAAAACTATGTTAAATAGTAGTGGTTAGAGTTGGCACTGTTGTTTTGTTCCTGTTTTTAGAGGATATGCTTTGGATTTTCCCCATTGAGGATAATGTTTGCTGTGGATTTGTTGTATATGACGTTTATTATGTTGTGACATGTTCCTTCTATGCCTGCTTTCTGGAGAATTTTCATCATAAATGGGTGTTGAATTTTTTTTTGAGGCATTCTCTGCATCTATGGAGATAATCATATGGTTTTTACCTTTCAATTTGTTATTATGGTGTATCACATTGATTGGTTTGCTAGCACTGAAGAATCCTTGCCTCCCTGGGATAAAGCCAACTTGGTCATGATATTTGATCTTTTTAGTATGTTGTTGGAATCTAATGGCTAGAATTTTTGGGGGGAGGGATATTTGCACCTATCTTCATCAGTGATATTGACCTACAATTTTCCTTTTTTGTGACATCTTTGCCTGCTTTTGGTATTAGGGTATGATGGCCTCATAGAATGAATTTGGCAGTTTACCTTTCTCTGCAATTTTCTGGAGGAGTTTGAGTAGAATAGGTGTCAGCTCTTCTCTCAATTTTTGGAAGAATTCACCTGTGAAGCCATATGGTCCTGGATTTTTTGTTTGTTGGAAGATTATTGATAGTGTCACTTTCTGTGCTTCCGATGAATCTGTTAAGATTTTTTATTTCTTCTTGGTGCAGTTTCAGAAGGTAATACTTTTTCAAGAATTTGTCCACTTCTTCCAAGTTAGCCATTTTATTGACATATAGTTGCTTCTTGTAATCTCTTATGATATGTTGTATTTCCTGTCTGTATACAGTTTTTCCAACATAATTTGTTTTGTTTGTTTTTATTTTGACCACACCCTGTGGTTCTGAAATATGTCTCCAGACCAGGGATTTAACCTGTGTATGGCAGTAAATCATAAAATCAAAACCACTAGGTTCCAGAAATTTTCCCAGCATTATTTGTTGAAGATTCTGTTTTTCTCCACGTGTTGCCTTTACACCCTTGTGAAAGATTATTTAACAGTGTATTTTTAAGTAGTGTGTATTATTTAACAGCGTATTTAATACAGCTTCCCAGCTGTTGCTAGGGGTAAAGAATTCATTTACCATTGCCATAGAACAAAGAGACATGGGTTAAATCCCTGGGTCAGAAAGATCCACTGGAGGAAGTCAAGGCATCCCACTCTAGTATTTTGCTTGGAGAATTCCATGGGCAGAAGAGACTGATGGGCCAGTCCGTGGGGCCACAAAGAGGCAGGCATGACTGAAGGGACTTAGCACAAATGCACCTGTGTGTTTTTTTCTGTCTTTATGCCAGTATTATACTGTTTTGTGTTATGTTTTGAAATGAGAATGTGAGGTCACCAACTTTTTTCTTTTTCAGGATTGCATAGGAATTCAGAATCCTTAACAATCTTTGTGAATTTTAGTATAGATTTTTCTATTTTTAACAAAAAAAAAAAAAAAGAAAGAAAGAAAAGCAAAAGGCTAGGACTTTGAGAAAAATTGCCTTGAGTTTGTATATTGTTTTGAGTAGTATGGACATTTTAACAATAAAGTCTGTTTAGTCTGTGGATTTGGAATCTCTTCATTTAGCTGAGTCTTCTTAGATTTCTTTCAGCAGAATTTTGTAGTTTTTAGTGCAAAAATATTTGTTGGTTTGTTTTTAAGTTTATTCATGAATATTCTTTAGTGATGTGAATAGTTTTAGTTGTTTTTGAATTATCTGTTAGTTAATAAAATGAAGTCGCTCAGTCATGTCTGACTCTTTGCGACCCCATGGACTGTAGCCTCCCAGGCTTCTCTGTCCGTGGGATTTTCCAGGCAAGAGTACTGGAATGGGTTGCCATTTCCTTATCCAGGGGATCCTCCTGATCCAGGGATCGAACCCAAGTCTCCCTCTTTGCAGGCAGATCTCTTACACTCTAAGCCACCAGGGAAGCCCTAGTTAAGAAAATTGCAACTTATTTTTGTATGTTATATATCCCGCAGTTCTGCCTAAATCATTTAACATTTAATTAATTAATTAATTAATTTACTTTTCCCCCTTTCTAAATTATTTAAAGGTGCTACAGGGTTACAGTGATGATGCACTCAATCATCCTTGGGAATTCTATGGTAGCTGTGTATGTGGTAAGAAACATTTTTCTTTTTTAGTTCATTGGGAAGTAAATGAGATATAGAACATTTATCTCGCCTCTGGTGAGAAGATGATGGGTCAGGTCCTGTAAGCAGGGATCATTAGGGAATTATGTTTTTATTTAGAACTATTTAACTATTGACAGCTGAAATTCTGATAGAGCTAACTGACCCTCTTATTTTTATTTTCATTAGAACCAAATATTAAGGCTGGATTTAATGTTTTGGCAAATCCTCCAGGAGTGGACGACCAAGATGATGAGGAAAAGATTGTCGGCAATGCATCTGAATTTAAATTTTCAGATAGTCCTCTCTTACCTTGTTACAACATCCAAGTGTGTGTTGCCCAGAGGTAAGGATTGATATCATGTGGCTGAAAAATATCTTCCAGTATTTTCTTCTGGGGAAGTCTCATTTTTCATGTAGAATTAGAGTAATCATTTTCATGGCTATTGGGGATTTTATATAGCATATCCCCATAAAAAAATCCTGTGCAGTATTAACAAAGATAATTAGTAGATAAAACGACATGTGATGAATGAAATTTTGTAATAACAGAAATCATAATGTTGAATTGCAGTGTGCACATAAGGAATGTCGTAATTTGCTTCTGAAAATCATCAGTCCCCCAAAAGATGAAAGTTTAGGTGGAAATATATAAAAAGAACTTCAGTGTAATGTGTATTTAAAAATGTGTTCTGTTATGAGGGGAAGAGGATCAAAATAATTAGTGCTCTTGGGTTATGGTACAGACATCCCCAGTGAGTATATTGGAACACATTGAGAATTAAAACTTTGAATTGTAATCAGAGCTGAGTGAATACGAGTTAACCTGTTTATATTAGCAGGGAGAGCAATAAAGAGTGCCTTTAAGGAATTTCAATAAGATAAGTTCTGCTGTCTAAAACGAGATGGTCTCTACAGGTTCTGTTAAAATCAGATAAGGTCAGAGTTATTTTAGAAGTAAATACTTTTTTTGTCTTCAAAAAAGCACACTGGTCAATGATGGGGATGCTTAAAAATGGCCTGGGGTGAAAGTGGAAGCAGCTGGCTGTAGATTGGTTTATTCAGGATAATAATCAGTAACATTTGCCAGACTTGAAACACTACCTTTTTTCTTCTGTAGGCCACAAAACTGGTTATTGCTTTCAGATGTGCTTAAAATATTGAAAATGTCATTGTGTGTATTCTGCTGCAATTTTCCAAATATGGAAATTGTTTCAGTTGTAGAGTCAGAGTTTTATCAGCAAGTTTCTGCGAGTTTGTTGTTCTCTTGCTCCAAAGACCTTTAATCCTGAAAGTGAAGAGCTACTATACTTGGTTGCATTCACTAATGAACTTCAAACTCTGCTCGGCTCCTCAATGCAATGGTTAAATCCCAGTGATAGGGCCCTGAAGGACCACTGAGCAACATAGTTTCAATGTATACAAAGTGTACTGTTTTTTTAATCCTGTTTGTAGTTGTTTAAGTGTAGACTTTTCTGTAAAGAAGGGGACATTATTAAGAAGGAAAATCTGCTTTATCTGAGACTTCATTTGGAAAATGATCAAGCTTGTGTTTCTTTTTAAGATTTTATGAAATTAGATTTACTTTTAAATGTACAGAGATTTATTTAAAATATTTGTCTTACATGAAATGTTTGTCTTTTAAAAACAAACAAGTTATAACAGATCTTTATTCACTGTTTTTTTTTTTTTTTCCATACAAAGCACCATGAGAGTTTAGAGGTCATCAAAATTGAGCAGATGTTTGAGAATTTTTTGCTCATTTATAGGTAGTATATACTAATGTCCATGTATATACGGTTGGATAAAATTGAAATTAAAATGGCATATAAACAAAACAGCTAATTACAAACTTAATGTGGCACATCACACTGGTTGATTTGTATACTATGGTAGTATTAATACATTTCTGTAGTATTAATACATTATGTTTATTAAAGCACTATAAACATAATTTATTTATGGGTTATCCCACTGGATTAATCACAGTGTTGTTCTTCACTTGCTAAATTGTGTCCAACTTTGTAACCACATGGATGGCAGCATGCCAGGCTCTCCTTTCCTTCACCATCTCCTGTATTTTGTTCAAATCATGGTGCTATGTAACCATCTCATCCTCTCCTGCCCTTTTGTCCTCCTGTCCTCAATCTTTCACAAATCAGGGTCTTTGCCAATGAGTCTGTTTGCATCAGGTGTCCCAAGTATTGGAGATTCAATTTCATCGTCAGTCTTCCCAATGAATATTGCGGGTGGATTTTTAGGATCACAGTGTTGACACCCCTTGCTCTCCAAGGAACTCCTAAAAATCTTTTCCAGCAGCATAATTCAAAAGTATCAGTTATTTTGCACTCAGCCTTCTTTATGGTCTAACTCTCACATCCAGACATGATTACTAGAATCATTGTAGCTTTAACTGCATGGACCTTTTTTGGCAAAGTGCTGTCTGTCTTTTTTAACACGCTATCTAATTTGTCATAGCTTTTATTTTAAGGAGCAGACATCTTAATTTCATGGCTGCAATCACCATATTCAGGGATTTTGGAACCTAAGAAAAGTCTCACACTGTTTCTACTTTTCTCCATCTCTGATGGAACTGAATGCCATAATCTTAGATTTTTGAATGAAAAGTTTCAAGCCAGATTTTTCACTCTTGCCTTTCACTGTCATCAAGAGGCTCTTAATTTCTGAAGAATAAGAGGAACACTTGGTCACAGAACTTCAAAGGACAGTTGTGTTCCAGGAACATTTAGCCCCAAGTTTCTGTTTTATCATTCAGTACCTGCAAACTAGAAAAATCTAAATGTTTAAATTTTGCTTACTATGGCTCTATCAAAAAATAGTTGAGCATGCACAAATTAGAATTAGTTGCCATTGGCTTTTCAGCTACTCTAGTGAAGAAAATAAAGCAGAAATTAAAAGCACAAAGCATATTTGTTCATTTAGGTAACAGTGTGATCTTGGAAGTGATGTACTGATGTTCAGGGCTTGGGTAGACAGGAAGGAGATGAAGATAAGCAGGTAAAAGTGGAAGTGGGATTTTACTGTATGTGGATAAGAGAAGACAAGTTTAAGGTATAACTCAGTGTTTTATAGGAGGACAAAAAATTTGAAAAGCAACTGTAAAAGACAAAGGAAAACATGTCTTTCAGCTGTATGTAATAAGCACCACCTAAGCACCATGCTTATTTAACTTATATACAGTGTACCTCATGAGAAATGCTGGGCTGGAGGAAACATAAGCTGGAATCAAGTTTGTCAGGAGAAATATCAATAACCTCAGATATGCAGATGACACCACCCTTATGGCAGAAAATGAAGAAGAACTAAAGCGCCTCTTGATGAAAGAAACGAGTGAAAAAGTTGGCATCCAGTCCCATCATATCATGGAGAATAGATGGGGAAACAGTGCAGACTGTGAGAAACTTTATCTTTTGGGGCTCCAAAATCACTGCAGATGATGACTGCAGCCATGAAATTAAAAGACACTTGCTCCCTTCAAAGAAAACTATGATAAATTTATACAGCATATTAAAAAACAGAGACACTACTTTGCCAACAAGGGTCTGTCTAGTCAAAGGCATGGATTTTTTAGTAGTCATATATGGATATGAAGTGTTGAATTATAAAGAAAGCTGAGCACTGAAGAATTGATAGTTTTGAACTGTGGTAATGGATAAGACCCTGGGGAGTCCCTTTTATTGCAAGGAGTACAAACCAGTCAATCCTAAAGGAATTCAGTCCTGAATATTCATTGTAAGGGCTCATATTGAATCTGAAACTTCAATACTTTGGTCACCTGATGCGAAGAACTGACTCACTGGAAAAGACTCTGATGCTGGGTAAGTTTGAAGGTGAGAGGAGAAGGGGATGACAGAGGATGGAGATGGTTGGATGGCATTCAGGATCAATTTCCCTTAGGATTAACTGGCCTAATTTTCTTGCAGTCCAAAGGAATCTCAAGAGTCTTCTCCAACACCACAGTTCAAAATCAGTTCTTCAGCACTCAGCTTTCTTTATAGTCCAAATCTCACATCCATACATGACTACTGGACAGACCATGGCTTTGACTACATGGACCTTTGTTGTCAAAGTAATGTCTCTGCTTTTTAATAAGCTGTCTAGATTTGTCATAGCTTTTCTTCCAAGTATCAAGCATCTTTTAATTTAATGGATGCAGTCACCATCTGCAGTGAATTTGGAGCCACAGAAATTAACTCTGTCAATATTTCATTGTTCCTTTGTCTATTGTCTTGAAATGATGGGACTGGATGCTACTATGATCTTCATTTTTTGAATGTTGAGTTTTAAGCCAACGTTTTCACTCTTGTCTTTCTCTTTCATCAAACAGTTTATTTCCTCTTCACTTTCTGTCATAAGGGTGGTGTCATTTGCATATTCAAAGTTATTGATATTTCTTGCAGCTGTTTTGATTCCAGCTTGTGCTTCATTCAGCATGGCGTTTCACATGATGTACTCGGCATATATGATAAGACCCTGGGGCTGGAAAAGATTGAAGGTGGGTGAAGGAGACGATAGAGGGTGAAATGGTTGGGTGGCATCACTGACTCCATGGACACGGTTTTGAGTAAGCTCTCAGAGTCATTGATGGACAAGGAAGCCTGGCATGCTGAAGTCCATGGGATTGCAAAGAGCTGGAAATGACTGAGATTCTGAACTGAACTAAACCCTGCATATAGTTTAAATAAGCAGGGTGACAATACGCAGCATTGACATCAGTTCAGTTCAGTCGCTCAGCCATGTTCCACTCTTTGCAACCGCATGAATAACAGCATGCCAGGCCCCCCTCTCCATCACCAACTCCCAGAGTCCACCCAGACCCATGTCCATCGTGTCGATGGTGCCATCCAGGCATCTCATCCTCTCATTCCCCTCTAATCTTGCCCCCAGTCCCTCCCAGCTTCAGGGTCTTTTCCAATGAGTCAGCTCTCTGCATGAGGTGGCTAAGATATAGCAGTTTTAGCTTCAACAATTCTTTGGCACTCAGCTTTCTTTATAGTCCAACTCTTACATCCATACATGGCTACTGGAAAAACCACAGCCTTGACTAGATGGACGTTTGTTGGCAAAGCAGTGTCTCAGCTTTTTAATATGCTGTCCAGGTTGGTCATAACTTTCCTTCCAAGGAGTAAGTGTCTTTTAATTTCATGGCTGCAATCACCATCTGCAGTGATTTTGGAGCCCCCCAAAATAAAGTGAGCCACTGATTCTGCTGTCCCCCCATCTATTTGCTATGATGTGATGGGACTGGAGGACATGATCTTAGTTTTCTGAAAGTTGAACTTTAAGCCAAAATTTTCACTCTCCTCTCACTTTCATCAAAATGCTCTTT